CTCGGCACCGCTCCACGGCCTGGTGGAGGAGGACGGCTGGCTCGGGGAGTCCGCTGGCCCCAGCAGCGTGCCGCTCCGGGGGGCCCCGTGCCAGCCCTCCGTGGCCCTGGGGGACAGAGGTTTTCCTGGGGACACAGGGCAGCGGAGCACGCAGCAGCCCCTGCTTGCCTGCATTTAACCCTGGGCGCCAGGCTGAGCTGGCACAGTCCCACCTCTGCTCCAGGAGGATCTTTGGACTTTGTGCTGATTTTGCAGTTTGCTTTGATTTAGCAGCAGGATTCGCTTTCAATGCATAGGACAACAACCTCCTCATATCTGCTCTGGGCCTTGGCCCTCCCATCCAGCATCCCTCCGCCTCGGGGCAAAGGCGCAGGAGGAGGGACCTGTCACCTAAGGCGCTGGGGAAAGGTCCCCTCCGCTGCCCGTCCTGCTGAGCGCCCCCAGGGCAGCCATGCACCCCGCGCAGTGGATCGCAGCCTGGGTGCTCCTGCTCCACGGTATGGCGGAGGGGCTGGGCTGGGAGGTGGGGTGGGCTCACCAGGGGACGACGCATCCCGGGACCCCCCGGGACCCAGGCTGGTCCCAGCGTGGAGGATGTAGGGGTGTTTTGCAGCAGTCCGAACCACAACTTTGGGTGAAGCAAGGGTGGGTTTCCCTTAGGGAGCCAGGGCTGTGCTGCTGCTCCAGCCCTGCTGCCCCAGGGAAGGGGGCCGGGCTGGGGAGAGGGGCTAATCCTGCCTGCCTGAGCCCAGGGACGAGCGCTGGGAGGTGATGGTGGTGGAGAGCTCAGGGAAAGGCGGTGCCGGTGGTGGCACCAGATGCAGAGCAGCACTGGGGAGAGGCCAGGTCCTGCTGGGGGCACATCCCTGGCTGCTGGCCAGGTCCTCCATCAGCCCCAGCGCCAGGGATGCTCAGGGCTGGCTCCTACCAACCCCCTCCCCAGCTCCCGGGCACGGTGGGCACTGGCTGTGCCTCCTGGCGATCCCACCGCACCCCTGGGGCCCGTCCCCAGGCATGCCACGGGCGCTGGCGTGCCCGGAGCGTTTACTTCCTCTTGAGCCAAGTGATGGCATTGGTTTTCACCCACTCTTCCTGGGGCTAAAAACTCGGGTTTTTGCAAAAAGCCCCAAAGCTGGGCTGGCTCGGTGTTTGGGACTGGGGACGAGGGTGACAGCTGCCCCCGTGCTGGCTCTGGGCTGCAGCAAGGGGCCAGCAGGACCCCGGGCTGCAGCCTGAGGCTCCGGGGTGTCCCGGTGTCCCTA